TACCATATTTTATGAATATGTGTTTTTGTATAAAAAAAGAAAAATCCCTGCAAAATTTACTGCTTGAGTTGGATCAAAATTTTTATTACACATAAATTTACTTAAAATCATGGCTTGGGTTGGAATATAATCAATCAACCCAACCTGCCAGTCTAAAGTCCTATTTCTAAGTTGGATTTTGTTCCTCCAAGTGATTCCCAATGCCCCTCAAACTATGTTAGTGGGGTTGACACATACAACATGGACCCCATTTTCTTGTTCTTATCATTTTGTTTGAAACTGAAAATTAGGTGGATTACCATAATTATTTTCGAAAAAAAATGAATATTATTTTCTCATTTGTTTCACTAAAGATGTCCTGAAGATACCATATGGACTTGGTGACAACCCCTTGCATTTGATGCTGCGGTGCTCCTCAAATGCAAAACAGTGTTGTCCTTGATGTAACTATTCACATTGCAAGCATTGTGCCCAACAATGAAAACCTAAATTATATATATATATATATATATATATATATAAAACTCACCTGTCACTAGCCAACCCTCCATCACAAACTCTACAATGGATCCAAATCCTGCCCCCGTTGCCCACTTGAAGTCAAAACCAACAGCTAAAGAACACTGGTACCATAAACTCTACTCTTGTCCCATGAGTCCAAATGTATCATATTACTATGATTGCAAATTACAAGGTCTCTCGGCCAATGTGGGGTTCACCTTGCCGACAACCTTGGATTCTGATAACAGTATTCCATGCTTAGAGTTAATGTTGATATGCAAATGATTATATAACACAAGAGTGGTTGGTGCAAAGTACATTGTAAGGGTAAAAATGATATGTAGATGATGCATCATCTTCTTCTCCATGCCATGAGTTGCTGAAATGATCTGAGTTCAGCATCTTAACAGTAGATTCTTGTTCACAAAATTATTAGACCAAAGAAGAATTCTTGTGTAAGAATTAGTTTGCTATTTTTCCATCCATCTCTTCACTCAATTAAATGATATAAGATGTGTAAAGGGAGTGGAGATAAGTCAAGAATTTACTGATGACTAACAATATCAAAACTATCTAACTCTACTTGCACTTCCTCCAAGAAGAAGAAGAGCTACATCAAGAGATAGATATATATACACTGGAATGCATTCGAGTTCTATTGCAATTATTTCCATCTACCTTAAATTTCCGGAGGCAGGCCTTTCCATCTCCTAACGAGAAACGAGAGAGAGAGAGGAAGAAATACTAGCAGGAGCAGAAGTGAAATGCCTGGCTCTCCCATGTACGCCATCGACTACTGTTGGAGTCTTCACCAGAATTCCCTACCTTGTTCTTGAACTTAATTGTCGCTGAGAACCGAAGAGAGAGTTCTGTACCACCTCGAGGGGAAGCGTGTTGCGGGATGGAGCTTCCACCTCCGCCTTCATATTTGGGGTGAGGGTGAAAGGAGAGGGAGGAGGAGAGGAGGAGGGCGGCAAAGGGAGTCAGGAAAGAGAATGGTAGTACTTTCGATGGCCCTCAAATGAGTGCTAGTTTCTTTCATGTTGACAAGGACCGTAAGGCAGTAAGAACATTACGGTAGTAATTTACAAAGAGAGAGAGAGAGAGAGAGAGGACGGTGTTCCCTCCAACTTTAGGGAGATTTCTCTTCTGACAAGATGATGTGCTACCCAGATATAGGAGATATTTGGTTTTCTATAAATGTTATAACAATTAATGCTATTATAATACACTTAATATTGTAAAAATAACCCGGTAAAATTGACAAAAAAAATAATAAAATATTAAATTAAAAAAAATATATAAGGTGTAGCCATGTCTTGGAAGGAAACCAAGCAATTCATGAATAGATGCAGTTCCAGTCAAAATCTTTTTATTGACCTCTGAAACATCTTCTTGCAACTGAAGTATGTTTTCTAGGGTTTCATCGAGAGCTTTTGACCATCATAGAGGGGGAAAAAAAATTATGAATGGCCTCATGCACATGCATTTCCCCTCAAAATCTTTTATGGAACTTAAAAGCATGCATCTTCTTGCAATTGAACTGTACTTTTTGGGGCTGCAGATATCTTTCTTCTCTTGTTTTAAGTTTCTTTTTTCATGGATTATTTGCCGGCTTGTTGCCATCTGAAGAAAGCAAAACATGAAACCCAAGAACAACAAGGAGAGAGGAGAGAGAGGCAAAACCAAGTCTTGTTTTTCCATTGGCAAATCTTGGACATGACTAACAATTCTATCCAACGATTTGATCTTTTTTACCTCGGCAAATCTTGGTAGAGCTTCTCGAAAAGTCCCCCTCATCACACCTGAATTGCTATATAATTTTAGTTAACTAATAATTTACAGGTAATTGATAATCTCACAGTAAGAAGCTGAAATTGGTTATTTCACTCGCAATAGAATGGCAGACTGGCACTACAAATAAAAACGAGAAATCTCACAAGACAAGGAAAAGGAAGAGAAGAGTAAGCACTTCTTTCTATGACCTTTTGGATTCTGCTCAAACTGCTGAATACTACACATAAGAGTTCTTCAGAAAGGAAGTAATACTTTCAACAAATCAATGGCCATTCCCTATGGATGTTGGGAGGTGTAATTGATCTCCCAATAACACTTGCCATCATCGTCATCAACAAACTGATGCAAGAAAGTAACATCATTATTAATAAACAAAATGGAGATTCATTGGCACTCCTGAGCTCAAAGCTTAAATTTTTAGAAAAAAAAGTCCAATATATTTATAAGCTTTAGTAATGGTTGTTACATAAATATTTTTAACTAAACACTGGGAAAAAAAAAAGATTTACTGTGATAAATGTCTTGATCTACTTCAGTAATCCTAATATGTTAAGCAATTAGGAAATGCTTGTAGAAGACACAAGGCAACTTTTTGTCAGCACATTCAATTTATCACTTGTACTAGACCAAATTTTGGTTACAAAATGGCACTTTGAACAACAACACAATGCTAGAAAAATAAAAGGAAGCATGACTGCCTCCCACAGAGCTCAAATCAACACTTCCTAAAAGCTGCTCCTT